CCCTTCTCCCTACCCCCTTCTCCCTCTCTCTCTCTCTCTCTCTCTCTCTCTCTCCCTCCCTCCCCCAACCCCTCCTTTTATCTTTCTCTCCCTGACTCTTTCTCTGTACCTCCTCACATCTCTTGTTTCTCTGTGTCTGTGTCTCCAGTTCCTTCATCTCTGTCGCCCTGTCTGCCCCTTTTTCTGGCTTTTCCCGTGCCTCCGTCTCTAAATCTCTCTCCATCTCGGGCTGCCATTCTCTGTTTGGGTGTGTTTTCTGCTGTGTCTCCCAGTCCCTAGCTGGTTCTTCTGTCTCCCCTGACTCTCACACCAACAACACCCCCCCTCTCTCTTTCCCCAGGATCTGCTGAACACCGACCCTGCCCCACACTGCCAGCTGGTGCCAACCCCCTGAAGGGGTCCCAGCCAGGCGGGCGGGAGAGGGAAGGCCTCAGACCACCTCAGGTACCTGGCAGGACCAGGCCGGCAGGGCTGTGGGGCTGACGGGTGGACTCGCTGAAGACACAGCAAGACCCCAGCAGGTGTCCAGCGGGGACAGGGGACCAGGCAGGGCCCATCCTGTCGCTCACCCTCTGCGTGTGCCACCCGCCCTTCATCTGGTCCTCCCAGCAACCTGACCTAAGCCATGAGCCTGGGAAAAGCAGTCTCTTCCCTCCCCTCTCCTCCTCCACTGGGGAATTTGGGGGTGAGGAGGGCGGTCTGGGGCCTGCCTCCAGCCAGATCTCCAGGCGCCCTCTTGGGGGGACTCACGACTGACTGTCAGCCCACAACGCCCCATACCCCCCCACCCCCGGTTGCCTTCCCAGCCCCTCCCCCTGGGGACAAGGCAACCCCCCACCATACATGCAGGGAGGGCTGCCTCACAGATCTGTGGCTCAGAGGACAGTCCTGGTCAGTTACTCTGGCTGCCTCACCCCTGCCCTCTGAGGCAGAGCCCACCCTCTCTAAACCCATCTCTCAGAACCTGTGGCCCTCTTCTGCCTGTTGTCCGACCTGGATCTCACCAAATCCCTCAGGGCAGGACTCCCTTCTCTACCCCACCCCACCCCACCCCCACTCCCAATGGGAGCCCAGTCTCTGGCCCTTAATTCACTCATTCATTCATCCAGCAATAAGCAGGCTGTGTGGCCGTGCACAGTTCTAGATCCTGCAGCTTTGGCAGCGATTGAAGTGGAGGAAATGCTCTCCTGGAGGGATACTCTGACAGGAGAGAGTCGGGAAACTAAAAAACTAACGTAGCCCTGATGAGTTTGGCTCAGCGGATAGAGCCTTGGCCTGCAGACTGAAGGGTCCCAGGTTTGATTCCAGTCAAGGGCACATACCCAGATTGTGGGCTCAATCCCCAATAGGGTGTGCAACAGGCAGCCAATCAATGATTCTCTCTCATCATTGATGTTTCTCTCTCTCTCTCTCTCTCTCTCTCTCCCTCTCCCTTCCTCTCTGAAATCAATAAAAATATATTTTTAAGAAAAGAAACTAGAATAGGTCATTGGGAGTGTGTCAGTTGTGGATGTGTAGAGTTGTAATCTGGTGTGGTCTGAAGCCGTCCCCTGGGTGCACTGGCTTTGGGGCCACCCAGGAGGAGCTACAGAGAGATCTGCAGATGGCTGCTATTTGTATTGGGCTTGGAGGTGGCCAGGGGAGGCCCAGTTGTGAAGCAAGACAGGCTGGTGCTAGTTGGGGGTCTTGGGCCTCTTACTGATAGGTTTGGGGCACGCTGATATCAGCTACTGCTTGTTTGAGAGATTTTAGAAAAGTCTGGAGCCTGAGCTGGGACAGGCCATTCATACGGAAAAGCTGCTCAAACAGCTTGGGTGGGGCTGCAAATTGGATGGGGTGAGGGCTCAGGGAGTTACCAGGGTGGAGCAAATAGTGTGGGCCACGCTGATGGAAACTCAGATATCCTCTGCCACAGGGGAGGTCCCAGCACAGAAACAATGACCTCCTGTCAGCACCCCATCTGAGTACAAACCACCCCCAAGTTCCTGCCCTGATGCCAGACCATCCAGTTCCTCTCCGTATGTCTCTGGATCCCTGAAAGCCTCCACCCAGCACTGGAGCTCAGAGGAAGCTGGACCGTGTAAGAACTGCAGGGTCTCCGGCAGCCTCCGTGTCACTCAGCCACAGTCCCTGCTGGTTTTTTCAGCCCAAAGTTACAGGGATGTCTTCCCAGCTCTGGAACCCTGAGGTGTGGGGCTGGGACCGCCTGCTTCTCAGAGGAGGCCTCTGCAGCCAAGATATCCGTCCCGATTCAAGACTGTCCTTTCCGAACATGCAGAACAAAGACCGGTGTGTATACATACACTAAAATGTAAAAACATGTGTGAGAATGATAAAACACCAAACTCTGGCTTGTTTCACCTCTGGAGAGCTAGGAGGGAAATGGGGTGGAGGTGTACACAGGGGAGTCTGGTATCTGTAATGTATCCATTAAAATATATCAAATGTGAAGGGGAAAAAATTAAATGAGGTTATAGGGTGGGGCCCTAATCCAACAGGACTGGTTTCACACGATGAGGAGGCAGCTGTCTGAAAGCCAAGAGGAGTGGCCTAAGGAGAAACCACATCTACTGACACCTTGATTGTGCACTTCCAGCCTCTAGAGCCGTGAGAAAATAAAAATTTGTGGTTTAAACCACCAGGTCTGTGGTGTTTTGTCTGGCAGCCATAGTTGACTAATACAGGCTCCTCCTACCACAGCCCCAGGAAATGGCATTACCAAAAGGTGTTGGTTTTTTTTTTCCCCCCTTCATTACTATGAAACCAGAATTAAATATAAAAATAACGATAACAATAGCTCCAGTGAGAAAGCCTGGCCTCTGTGCCTTTACACGTCTGAATGTTTTGAATTCCCAGATTGGCCTTGGGAGGCTGGGGCGATTACAGTCCCATTTAGCAAATGGAGAAACAATCTTATTTCTTCCTCATGCTACGTGCTCATGTCAGGTAGGAGGGTGTGACCAGGATCAGGAGAGCTCTGGTTCACATCTATTCATTCAGGAGCCAGCGGACAGAGCCCAACACAGCACAGGGAAAGGGAGGGACCATGGCAAACCACACACCGGCTTCCAACCCGGAAGTTACACTCCCACTTGCATCTTATTGGCCAAAGCAGGTCACAGGGTCCACTCTCATGTCAAGAGGGCTGGGCAGGTGCAGTCCTACCAGGTGCCCAGAACTGAAATGCGCATTGCTGGGTGCGAGCTCCTCTGCTAAGGCCTGGACCTCCGAGGACGCCGGGACCTGGAAGAAGACTCGCGTAGCCGAGGTGTATGGGACACGCTTTATTGCACACACAGCAGCCGCATGCCGGCTGGTCAGCAGCACATTTCACACTAACTCAGACAAAAGAGGCTTCTTGCCAAGTAGCGACATCAGTGTTACACACGATAAAGTTGCGCCTGCGCAGTGCGTGCAAACTGCCGTGTCATTGCCTTTGCACGTGTGTATGGCACGCGGGCCTTTAACATCCGGCGTACTCTGGTCAGGGTCCCCACGTGTATGAACAGCTCAATCGACACACCACTGAGATCCACACCGGAGCCACACTCCCAACCACTATTCTTTCCTGAGAGAAATGTCCAGGCAGGCCTGCCCTCCTCCGTGGATTCATCCAATGGCTCATCTGTTCACTTGGCAGGTGCTGGGCCCGGGTGTTGGGGGAAGAAGTACAGAGAGCCAAGAGATATTTAGAAAGAAGCGTTGATAGAATTTGGTCCTGGGTTAGCTGTGGGGGATGGGGGAGGGGGGGGCGTGTCAACCATTCGTCCGTTCATCCGTTCCGCATCTATTGAGCACCTGCTCGGTGCAGCTGTTCTAGGCTCTGAGCAGACAGCTGCCGACACACAGAGATCCCTGCCCTTGGAGAGCTGACAACAAAACGTCGCATGTGCTGTCCCCGGGGAGCCGGTGTTATGAGGGAAAATAGGAAGCAGGTGCTGGGAAAGCTGAGGTACTAGAGTCAGGGAACCCCCAGATATCTGGTTTGTTCAACAGGATGACAGGGGATAGTGATGGGGTTCACACTGCAAAAGGGCCAAGTTTGCAAGAAATTAAGACATACATCCACACAAAAAAAGCTTGTACGCAAATGTTCACAGCAGCATCCTATATAATAAAAGGCTAATATGCAAATAGACCAAACATTGGATCAATTGGAACAACCGAATAACTGAACAACCAATGGCTATGACATGTGCTGACCACCAGAGGGCATGTGTGGAACATGACGGGCATTGGCTGCAGCGGGATGGTGGAGCAGGTGAGCAGGGGTGCCAGACCAAGGCAGGGCACCGGTTGCTGTCATCGGGGCGAGGCTCTGGTGGTTATTGAAAATTCTTTGCTCCCATGCTCTGTGGTCCCGCCAGGCACTCACACCTGCTGCTGGCACCGGCCCTGCTCACACCCGCACCCACTGCTGGTGCCTGGTGCCGGTCCCGATCACTCAGTGCCATCAGCGGGTGGGAACGGGGCCAACGCCATCAGCATGTGGGAGCCGCAGTGGTGGGAGTGGGAATGCTGGCAGACAGGGGATGGAGCCCCGTGGCAGGAGGTGCTGGGTGGGGACTCAGAGGATGGGCCAAGACACACACCCCCATGCCTACCGCAGCCTCATGGCCCACAGTTCCTTTCAAGGTGCACGAATTTGTGCACTGTGCCCCTAGTTACTCACAATAGCCAACAGGTGGAGATAGTCCAAATTTCCATCAGGGATGAAAGGATAAACATAATGGGGTCTATCCTGACCATGAAATATTACTCAGCCATAAAAAAGGAATGAAATGCTACCACAGGGAGGAACCTTGAGAACGTTGCGTCAGATGAAGGAGCAGACACAAAAGGCACGTGTGGTAGGATCGCACTCACATGAGGTGTCCAGAACAGGTCTCCCGAATTCAGGGTCTGCAGACAGAAAGCAGACAGAACGTGCCCAGGGGCTGCGAGCGAGGAGAGGGGAGTGTCTGCTGATGGCTACAAGGTTTCTTGTGGGGGTGATGGGAAGGTCGTAAAACTGATTACACTGCCCTGGCCGGTGTGGCTCAGCCGGCTGGGCAGCCTCCCCTGCACCAACAGGGAGTTGCAGGCTGGTCCCCAGTAGGGGGCGTGCAGGAGGCAGCTGGTGGATGCTTCTCTCTCCCTCTCCCTTCCTCTCTCTCTAAAATCAATACAAACACATTTTTGAACATAATAATAAAAATAAACTTGATTGTGCTGACAGTTTCATAGCCCTACGAATATGCCAAAAACATTGACCTGCGTCCTTAACGTGAGTGCATTATATGGAAGGTGAATTACATTGTAATAAAACTGGGTTTGTTTTTTACATGTGAAACACTTCACGCCTTTGCCTGTCATCCTTGGGCAGGCTAGTCTTCTCTCTGTTCCGATTGTAGT